TTCCTTGCCTTTACCTCTTCGGGCTTCATCTCGTTTAGAACACCTTTTACGGCGTACAGCGTGCCGGTAACCTTCGAGGAGGATCACCTTTGAAAATGTATGAAACCGTATTCGTGAATTATGCAATCGCGAGGTCTTACGAACTGGGTCAACGATTTTTCTGAATCTAAATTCCATTTTTTATTCATTGAGCTCGAACTACTGTAGATTCAACGTATAAAGATTATTTTTTAAATGCCCCATTAAAATGTATACATCTTTATATAGATAATAATTTAGATTTTATTTGGTCAGTTTATTTATAAATTTTTCTTAATTACAAGACAATGAAGATTTTAGATATTATTTTATAAACTAAGGATAGAACACTCAAGTATGACAAGAAGAACAAAATATGTTAGCGAGTTAACAACCGCAGGTGATGAATCACAATCGATTGTGAGTCAAAATAATGTTACGCAATGCTACGAAAGTGGGCCTCCCGTATTAAGTCGATCTATGATCAATTCGATCTTCCTTAAAGATTATCTCCCTTTTAAGGGAAATCGTTAAGCGCGACGATCATTTCGGGAGCAAATCTTCCGACAGCAATGCAAGTCTCTGTACCGATATGGAAACTGGTCGAACGAGAAACCTTCTTTTAAATGCGGTTCTCCTTGCGCTCGCGATCAAGGTGAATCGATGTAATCGACGTGATTCCCTCCCCCTTTTTTCCCCTTTCAATTCGCGAAATGGAATTCCGAATTGGTACCTCTAGTGCCATTGCAAAACACATTATTATATTCGAAATTGAGAATAATAAGTGCATTAACATTTACTGTGGTTCCCAGTGAGGTCAATTCATATGATATCAATTTAATCTTTGTATAGCGCTCGATAACAGTTGATAACAGTTTCTAAAAAGTCGCCGACCATTCTTATCGTTAAATCGATAATTACATGACTGGTTGTACATTTTTCTTGATTTACTAATGATTGCGTCTTAGTCGTTCTATCCTTGTCTTATCAATAGCTTTCTTTCTATTAAAAAAAGATAAAAAATACGACGACAGTATAGGCCGCTAAGAAATACCAAGTCTCACAACAGTGAACTTTTAATTGTTAAAAATTTCAGGAACATCTGTGACCTGTTCAAAGATATCAAGATCAAAATCGCAGATTTATTTGAATGGAATGACTGTTCTGATTCACGCAATTAACCATGGAAAGAAAAATAGCGTTAAATTAGTTAACACTTAATTCTGTGGCCAATAAATTGATCTAGCTGATCTCGGAGTAACCAAGAAAATGATTTCGCTGGATAAGAGCAATTTCTACAATCCGTCGAACGCAGCATCGAGTCATTGAGATGGCCACATGGCCACAGGCCCCTGACCCAATTTTCATGACCGTGAACGTTACGCCATTAAAAGCGTCGTTGTCGTAAGTGCCACGAGGCGATCCTTTAATTGCGAACATTTGCTCCATCAAATGACGCGGTTCTATTGCTCCCTCCATGAGCTCTATGCGAAATAATTCATATAACTAATGCAGTCTCGTTTTGTATTAATGGTAAAGGAACGTCGAAATTAATAATTAATTAGTATGTTCAGATCAAGTCAATAACGATCAAAAACATGACATTACTGTCATTCGTAAGAGTAATAAATAGATTTCAATGATAACATAAAAATATGAATTAGGTACTCAAAAATAAAATCACAAATACGAGTTTAGATAACAATATAATTTTATTGCTCGTATTAGACCAATTGGTCTAGTCATTTGATTTCGCTATACGGTATCTTTTTCTCATATTTAATCGATATACTATTTGGAAAAAAGTTAAAAATATCATCCACGTGTATCTAATCATACAGAGTGCAATGATCAAGTAAAATTATCTATATAATCTGACGTTCTTATTTTGTTAAAAAAATTTAATTCATTATGACACGGTGCAATGTATAATGTTGTTTATCGCAACATGTCTTAGAAGTTCTTTACTATCTGCTCCAAAGCAAAATTCATTTAATTAATAAGAAGACGAAGCTAGTTTCCGGGAGTATCACTCGTTGGAAACAGCAGGAGAAGTAATACAAACGCAGATTCGACCCGCATCATTTTGAACACAATAGACTCCACCACACCCTTCGAACTTTAGAATCCGGATCCAGGTATTCAAGATCGCGTAGTATGCAACGGAACATATACCTTAGGTAGTCACACCCTATCCCAAAACTTTTCGCTTTGCCTCGGAGGCATAAGCACGACCTTCCTGGAATTTATACACGTTCTACACATAGCAACAGGAGTAAATGTAAAAACATCTGGTGGAATGAAGAGTTCAGTAAGTTTTATGTGCCATATATCTTTACTATGAATCAACGAATGCCTTCCAAGATTTAAGAAATATGTAGGAATAGAAATTAATAATGAAACATAACATAATTAACGCATTCGGTTTTGTAAGAACACTGCATAATCATTAAATGAATTCTACTTTTTTAATTTATAACATCTATGTTTGCCTTTCACTAATTTTGATTTATTCATAAAATCAAAGGCTAATTTTGTTGCAATATATTTAAAAGAAAGACTTAACGATGGTGCGTTGAAATAGCTATGCAAGGCAATTTGTAAAGCGAACGATCACGCGTGTATGCAAATGTTCCTGCGGACTTGCAAATCTGAAGAAATCTTTGACGTCAAACCGTCATATAGTATATTAAGTAATCCGAAAGATGACTTCATGAAGTCATAAAGCATTGCATGGAACGATGTAATGCTTCGTTCCACTCGGCCACCCTAAACTTTGATGATTTTTCAACGCGTGTTGTAAGTTGCTCTTTCCTCGTTAATGAAATTATAGTTCGCTTACCTAATACCTAAATATAGAATCCACATCGTGACTGACATCGTTGGTTCATATCGCATAGATAACAAGCGCTGCTTGGACGATTTCTATATTATATGTATGTATATCGTCATTTGGGTGCAATGTAACGATCCGAAAGGAACACATTGCTTTATATCTTATCATTTTTCAAACACACAGCAGAAAGTTAAAAGTTGTAAGTGAAATTCATATCACTATATCGAGGAATTCAAAGAATAGGAGTACGAATAAAACTCAAACATAAAATATATTTTGTACCGATAATGTAATAACAGGCTTGTTCCTATTTGTCAAATATTATTAGCTTCTTAAACAGCATGTTCAAACCTTTACAACAATCGAATATGCGATAACAGTTTTGTTTGAAAACAAGTGAACGAAGATACGAGAGCGATTACCTATAGTATATGATGTCTTTGTACTGAAAAAGGTAGGCTCAAACATGAAAAAACGTTTGCTTGTACACAGTATTGCTTACTTTCTTTTCATGTTTCACCTTAGATAAAACTAAGTAACAACAAAGTGGTTAAGGAGCTGATCAAATAATGAAACGAACTCGAGGAAGCGAACTTTTCTCCTGTGAAAGCCTGGACGCCTTAAATTTAACAATCACTAATTATTCGCGCTATTGATACCCACAATGTATAGTATCGTTGCTCGTGCGTATGCTGGTTTCAAAGGAAGCGCGATTTTAACAAGCCGAAAGACGTGTTCGGTGAAAGTGAATACTTTCAACGTGAAACTTCTTTACAACAGACTTGCTCATTATTTATAGACTTCCTAATTGATGTGCTATTGCAAAAGTACAGACTTTACTGATTTAAGATTGTTCCATAATTTTCTTATAATATAAAATAGTAATCATAAAAAAATATAATTAATATAAAATGTGTCATGAATGAATTAATGTTTTTAAAATTTTTAATTAACATAATTGTTTCACTCTATTAGACAAATACTAGAAATAATGAATTTTGTGGCGAGTATTTATTTTTCTATTATGACTACTAGATGTCCTTTAATTGCACGTGTGCGACCACGAAAGTAGATGTTTTACGATGACATGTGAAATACATCACGATCAAGAAGGCACCGTATGGCTAACGGAATATGCATATTGCATCAGGATGAACGCGACTCGGCGGTCCATGCTTACGAACCTCTCCTTTTTAGGTAGCCTTTACGTGAATAACTGTGCATTCATTACGCGTTCTCCATGATCTCTTCACAGAGTTCAAAATGCAAGAACTTCCTCAAATTATTAATGCTCTTTTTCATAAGTACCTTTCTAAGATTATAAAGCGATCGCGTGAAATTAAAAACAAATTTTGCGCTTTAGAGTAAGAAAAAGAGAGGAATGTACGTACGTAAAGTCTGAGTAACCGTATTTTGGAGCTAAAAATTTCATTCTATCGTAAATTGATTTTATGAATATTTGAATATAAATACCATTTAATTATTTTGTATCGAATTTTAATCAATGCGACTGACTTTTTTATTATGTGCGAAATTTCATAAATTCCAGCTATATAATTTCCGCAATAAGTTATATGTGCAAATTATCCATACGAGATTAATATATGGTAGTAAGTATTTTGAAAATTTCGGACACGTGTCACTATTTTAATTTATAGTCAGAACAACCGTAAGTTCTCTGTATTTTCTTCTAAAAAGGATTTACTTTTGTTTTTTGTGGTAGATGAAAACATTTACATTCGTATTTAGAAGCACGCTTCGATCGTTTTAAGTAACGCAGGAACTTTCTCTGCTACGATGCTTGCATTCACGGGAAAGATTTGCGAGGCACCTCGAGAAACAACGAGCGAAGTGTTCAAACAAGTTAGGTCAGTGACTCCGGACACGTTCGTGTCGCAGACCCTACAGGATGTGTTACTTGGACCACTGGCACATCGCATAATTAATAGCGAGCTGTCGCCAATGGCTCGTGCCCCTTTGAGTCCAAAAGATTGGCAAGAATCTCGTCTAATAAAAAATAATTTTTAAAATAGAAGATTTCCACGAAATTTTTAGAACGATATTCCGTTTGACCGAATGTTAGTCCCTTAACGAACTTGCATTTCGTGGAACATGCCATCTAAAAATAAATAAACTTCTGTTACAGATTAATAGCAAGTACAGCGAGGAGCTGGCGCAGGAATGTTTGGAATGGATCAAGACGATCACTGGGGAGAACATAAACACTAACGGAGACATGGATAATTTCTACGAAATACTGAAAGATGGAGTCCTTCTTTGCAAGTACTTACCCCTTCTATGGCATGTCTATTAACATTACTCAAATTGTCTGATGATTAATTATCGCTTCATCTTTCTAGACTGGTAAACGATATCAAGGAGGGATCCGTGAAGAAGATCAATAAAACCACCTTGGCATTCAAATGCATGGAGAACATTAACGCGTTCCTCGAGGCCGCGAGACAGTTAGGTGTCCCAGCTCAAGAGACCTTCCAAACTGTTGACCTCTGGGAGAGACAAAATCTCAACTCGGTCGTAATTTGCTTGCAATCTCTCGGTAGAAAGGTAATTTCAATCGTTTATACATGTATTGTTATATCTCCATTATTTCAATTTATCTTATAAAAAATGCCGTATACAATATTCTTACTGTGGAGATTGCGACTGTGAAAGGTTTCATTATTATTCTAATTCGGAAGTTTGGTTCTCAGGCGGGTAACTATGGCAAACCAAGCATCGGACCAAAAGAAGCAGACAAAAATGTGCGCAATTTCACCGAAGAACAATTGAGGGCCGGACAGGGTGTGATTAGTCTACAATACGGCAGTAACAAGGGTGCTAACCAGAGCGGCATCAACTTCGGGAACACTAGACATATGTAAACTCATTCAATCCCATTCTCATCCCCGTTTCTTATTTTATTTTTACGATAAACTAGACATTTACGGACAAAAAATTTCGTTGTACAATGTTTCTTATCGTGGTCCAAGTTATTCACAATCCTGAATGGTGCACAAAACACGTTAATACGCGTGTTAAATGACTTTCTATGCATTTAAACTAGGTGATAGTGAACTATAATGTGAAATTTTTATATTCGTTTTCTCCTGCAGTCGAGATTGAGCAATCTCAAAAGTTGTACATGTACTTTCATGCTCAATCCATGAAAATTAAGTCTATTTCGCACGATAGTATATTTATACATTGTTAATGTATCACAAATGGTTCAAAGTCCATTCTATAATCAGAGAACAAGTTATTTCTAAATGTTAAAGATCAAAAGGTATATTATACCACTGGTTACAATTGGTAAGTCATGGTGGTACCACATTTGTTAAATATTACAGATAGATTATAAAAACAGGGCTGCTGATATAGCGAGCTCACTCTGTTACTGTTACTATGGAACCTCTTACGAGTTACAATGTAACCAAATTATACTTTAACAAAAATTCATGTTGCACGTGAGACGATAACTATTATAATTATTGTATAATGACAAATGAAATATAATTATTTTAAGTATTTTGTACAAATATTTTTTGATGATTATAAAAATGATTTTTCATAATGTATTGACAATATGAGTTAATAAACGACCTACAGATAGATAATAAGGCAATAAATCTCTCCTTCTTAGAAAGATATTACCCGTAAAATACAAATTTTGAAGTATCTTAAGGAACCGTAATAACAACTATATCTTAAGCTATATGCGTAACAAATACTCTTTCGAATATATTTTAAAAGAACATTTCTCCTAGTTATTTAACCTGAATGGTGCACAAAACACGTTAATACGCGTGTTAAATGACTTTCTATGCATTTAAACTAGGTGATAGTGAACTATAATGTGAAATTTTTATATTCGTTTTCTCCTGCAGTCGAGATTGAGCAATCTCAAAAGTTGTACATGTACTTTCATGCTCAATCCATGAAAATTAAGTCTATTTCGCACGATAGTATATTTATACATTGTTAATGTATCACAAATGGTTCAAAGTCCATTCTATAATCAGAGAACAAGTTATTTCTAAATGTTAAAGATCAAAAGGTATATTATACCACTGGTTACAATTGGTAAGTCATGGTGGTACCACATTTGTTAAATATTACAGATAGATTATAAAAACAGGGCTGCTGATATAGCGAGCTCACTCTGTTACTGTTACTATGGAACCTCTTACGAGTTACAATGTAACCAAATTATACTTTAACAAAAATTCATGTTGCACGTGAGACGATAACTATTATAATTATTGTATAATGACAAATGAAATATAATTATTTTAAGTATTTTGTACAAATATTTTTTGATGATTATAAAAATGATTTTTCATAATGTATTGACAATATGAGTTAATAAACGACCTACAGATAGATAATAAGGCAATAAATCTCTCCTTCTTAGAAAGATATTACCCGTAAAATACAAATTTTGAAGTATCTTAAGGAACCGTAATAACAACTATATCTTAAGCTATATGCGTAACAAATACTCTTTCGAATATATTTTAAAAGAACATTTCTCCTAGTTATTTATTTACTTATTATATAATTTTTAAGAGTTGAAAGCCTTCGTATAATAAAATGAATCAACATTTTATTACTGCATATTTTTTTATTTGTAAATCATACATACTACATTTTACAATAATTAAAATAGTCCATTTATCTTTTGAAAGGATAATAATCAAGACCCGAATTAGATTCAAATTTATTACGGTTAAATTTCCTGCCTGTTTCTAAAAGCTTCTGAACACTGGGCCTATAAGATAGAAAAGATATATGAAATAACTTCTTTTGTATGAATAAACTATTAACTACTAAAACTAATAACAACACATAGTTTAGTTAAGTTGGAATTAAATAAATAGGAATGCTCAAGGTATTTACCTGTAAGGTGGAGGTAATAGCTCATCATGTAATGTACATTCCATATTCTTATTTAGTTCATTTTGTTTATATACATATGCTTTGATAATCCCTAAATTCCTTTTACAATCATCCTTAATTAATTTTACACTGGCTGGTGGAACATCAAAAGAAAACATAAAATGACTGAAAATAATGAAAATAGAAATATGTTAAGTAAGATGCAATGAACATACAAGAAAGATTAATGAAGACCTACCCAGCTCGTGTATAATTTCCATGATCGGTATGTGCTTTACATGGGAGATCTTTCTCACCCCAGTTTTCAATTTTCCTAATAAATCCACCTGTTGAAAAGATTGAATTTGCCACGTTTTTCAAAACAGTCATGTATTCAGCCTGTAAATATAGTTTATTAATAAGTAATAAACAAAAATACCTATCTTTCTCCGCTATCGACATATATTAAGATAACAAATAGGTTAAATCTAGTTTTTCGTAATCTACATAAAATATTATTGTGATTAATATTAATTACCTTATTTGCCACTCGCAATAATAATGGCATTTCATAAGTAGGCATTTTTGTATATTTTTATTTCGTCTAGATCACAATAATATTTAAAACACAACTTTCGTGTCGAACACTAGGATCACAAATTGTATTTTATAACTCGAGATGTTATACGTAGTATATTAAGACACATTAGAAGAATAAAATCAACATATTACACAGTTAATAATTCATACGAACGATCGACAATTAACTATATTAACTTTTGCTTTGACTTAAAAGTTATAAGCCTATCGCTGCCTACCCTCAACTCTAAAACTTTTAAGGTTATAATAACCTCGTACTAAAAGTATGAATTCGAAGAAAATACTGTTCAATGTTACGAAAAACATTTCGTGTTTAACTTATATGAGACAACATCAACAAAGTCTATATTCACATTATGTAGACAAAAATTATGTCCTTCCGTCAATTTTAGCAAATGCTTTACGATATTCGAGTGATAGCCCTTTGAAATGTTGGAACTGCAATTTTATGTACAAATCTGATTTATTTTGTTCCAAGTGTAAAGTTTTACAAGAACCGCCAGAAAATATAACTTATTTCGATATAATAGGTATTCCGAAAAGTTATGACGTTACAGTAGCAGACATTCAGAAAAAGTACATAGAACTACAAAAGTTATTGCATCCTGATAAATTCAGTACCAAATCTGAGGTATGTATGAGTTGTTTGTAATAAAAAGTTATTGGTATATCTATTAAAACATGTACTGTTTATTTTTACAGAAGGAGAAAGAGATCTCTGAGATGTTATCTTCCTTAGTAAATAAAGCATATAGTACATTGTCACATCCAGACTCCATTTTCCTTAAATATCTTTCTTTGAAAACAGTGTATATGTATATGCAAAACAAAACATGCACATGTAGAAAAGTAAAAAATAACAGATTGATAAAATTAAGCTAGTCTTCTTGATTATCTATTTTCCATTGTTCAATCCACTGACATATTCTATTTACATTTTCGTTGACTTGATTTAGATCATTACTTGTTAATTCATGAACTATTTCTTCTCTGTAGGCGGACTTTGCCTCTTCAAGAATTGTTTGAAATATTTCACAATCTATATTATCCTCTAACTTTTTTCCTATGTAACCCCTGTCCCTTAAACGATCATACAAGATAGTATTGTCTGTTCTTAGTACAAAAACAATGTCAAACCATCTCTCAGGAAAGAAATCAGCTCCATGATAATCTATAATTTTTCCACCTTCACACATTAGGCCTTCCAACTGATCTAATAACTGTAATTAAAAAGATATATTAAAATAAAAATTTAACAGAAACCAGTTTCTTCTTACTTTATTAATCACCTTATCTTCATCTAAGACGGGACATTGATATACTTCATCGTATTCTTCCAAACACTCCTTCTCAATCGCAAATTTGCTAACATCAATCCAGGTTAAACCAGTCTTCTCAGATAAAAGACGAGACATTAAACTTTTTCCTACACCAGGGGTACCTAAATACAACAAATTTATTAGACGACTGTAAATAATTTTGTTTTACATGAATACATTAAAAAATTAATTGTAAAAATTAAGTGTACATTAATCTAATTTTAAAAGTTACCTG